TCAGATATATATATATATATATATATATATATATGCATCGACCGTTGCGGAGACTCAATGGATAACGGTGCGACACTTGACGTATATATATAAATGTATAGCACTATAGCGGGTGTAATAATGGTTATAATATGAATTATAATAATACTCCAACAATCGCGACACGGCACTTCACACTATTTAAGATAAATTACAGATTCAAAAGATTCAATCGTAAGTGGTGAGAGGTGATAAATAATACGCGTTCACAGACTACATGCAACGTTTACGTCAGGTCACCAAAGGTCCGCGTGGGAGAGGGGTGTCGAGCCATGGCCCTCCACAATATTTTAGTTAATATTGAATATTAAATATTTTATTACATATACTTACATAACTTAAATATTTATAACAATTGACAATTTATTATACTCTGTATTTCTGTAATACTTATTACCTTAGATGATTTTTATTTATTATTTGTTCAGTTTTTTAATTTGCTCACATTTTTCTATTAATTTTTCTAATAATCTAATTAAAAGCTTTATTTAAATATACAGATATTTGATATAAACCTTTTTTATTTTATTTCAGAATTTTATGAAAGTACAGTAATTTAGATTACATTTTAAATTATGTTATTTTATTTACATCAATTATAGGTAGGTATTAATTATTTTTGACGGTTGAGACGAGTTAAATTATGCAATAGCTCACCACCGATTCCAATCTTATGCAACGATACGCTGCACCTCGCCCGACCTATCTCGGTGTCTGCAGATGTTTTCACTGGGGGGGAATATATCGTAAAAAACTGTAAGTTCATTAAAAAAAAAAATTGTATAACTACCATAATAAACCATCTATTTCTTATAAATTTTATATTAATTAACTAATTTCACAAAATATTTAAATTATTAGGTAGTCATTAAATAAAAATTGTATACGCCTATAGGCTGCATGGCAAATAATTTTATTATTTTGATGTACAATCCTTTTTTACAATTGATAAGAAAATTACTATTTACAAAAATAGCGAGTGGAAGGAAGAGCATATAATAACCCCCTGTAAATGCTTTTGATTTATCCTTTCGTCGGTGTAAGTACGCGTAGTACAATGTAGGCACTAGGCGATAAGGAGCGGTCACAGTAGATGCCATGTTAACTTCCATAACCGACGCTCGCGCTTACACGTATTAATGTGTGACCAACGGCCTAACAATCGGTTACCGTATGAGTTATGTTATAATTTGATATTTGAAAATACGTGAAGACAGGACTTGCAAACTTTATAATAACGTTATATTTAATAAAAAACGATTGAAATTTGTTAACATAATTATAACGGAAAACGATAAACATAAATAATTAAATAACACAAAACAAAACATAACGCAAAACGTTACATAATATAGTAGGTATATCATTAAATGAAATAATTTATTTCCAATTATTTAATAGTTATAATTTAAAAAGTATGTTAAACAATTTAATTCTGAATAAAGATAAACACAAAAGTTGAATAACGTTTAAATTCTGAATAATGATAAACTCAAAATTTGTATAACGTTTTAATTTTAAATGACGTATAACAAATTTTTTTTCAAATGCAAGCCCTACGTGGAGGTCATTGTATGTGTTTTCAATCTTGCGGTTGTGTGTTCTATGTGTGTGCTCGACTTATTATTCAGTTGTGTGGGTGACTTGGACAGTCGCGCGTGTTGTTATAACATACAAGGAAGGATGAAATTGTAATATCTCACACTTATACGGACCTCAGATTCGCCGTGGAGTATCATTTGATGATTGCGGTTTAAAGGTCACTAACCTGAGATAATGAGATCTGAAACTACGGGATTTTTTTTTTGAATAATAATTATAATAATAAGGATAAAATAAAAAGTAAGTTCATGATACAAGGATGGGAATTTACTTAATATGTAAAATCGAGTACATTTAATAATGAAGTTAGTTGTGACCTAGAAAGTTCAGACGAGCATAAAACACGATCAGAAAAAAAAACTAGTAATTAGTTTAACGAATAATATTGTTTGGAACCACTACCTGGGTTTAAATTCCCGCTGCCGCAGACCGGTTAACCGCGAGCGCGTGCAATCTATAACCTGACCTGTGGCTATAAGAGTTTTTTCTCCCCCCCCCCCCCCCGATCAATCATTTTTAAAGACGCGTTTACCCGTCCATGATCGTTGTTGTCGCGTTATCGTCTCCGCAACGTTTGTCTTTTGCCGTCATCAGTGTTTACCGGTTACGACGGGTCGTTCTTTTTTTGTGACTCATTGCGTTCATTTTTTTACGCAAACGCGTGTTGTGTTGCCTTTGCAAGGTACACAAATATCGCTTGTCGTGAACGACGCTCGTGACTAGTGAAACCTTCGTGTTTTATGTACTACGCGTTTTTTCGTCGATAGTTTTTGCGTTAGTCGCGCCATTTATCGATGCACTGATCACAACGCCCACGTTTTGTTGTATATTCGTCGAGTACATTTCGACTTTTATTGCACCCACATAATTGATAAAATCAATTTAAAAACTAAAATATAATTAATAATTAATTAATTACTTAAACAGTGAAAACAGTGAAAACCAATAATCGATGTATAAAAAAACCAGAAGAAAAAATGCAGCAGCAAATAAAATAAGTACTTAATATCTACATTTATAAATTGTTATTTATTTTTATAGGTACATATAATAATTATAAAAGCAAATTGCTCATAAAAAAAAAAAAATAAATATTTTAAAATTAAATAAGCGGACACTAATAGTTTTTAAGTTTAGTAAATACATCTACAGCTTCTTTTAGATTGGTATTATTACCTTCTATTTTTCAACAATAAATACTATTAGATCGTTTAGCCTTTCAAAACTCATGGTAGGTATATTGTATATAAATATGACTTCACTGTTTTTAGCGATAAAAAAAATCTTTGATTTAATGCTGTTGTAATTGGTAAAGTTTTTACAAGTGAAATAATTTTCAAAGTGTCAACAAAAGCGATAGGAAAATCTTTCATTCAATATGCTATGGTGTCCGAATCAACATCATGTTTTTCATTAAATAGTGCTTTTACTGGCAGAAATTATTTAGCAATTTAAATTTCGTATACATTTTATTTGATTGTAAAAAAATTGTAATAATTTAATGTGTCATATGGATTTTATAATATTATCAGTTTCTTGCCGCGTGGCGTAAAATGCGATAAAAACAGTGAAACAATTATTTTTTGGAACAATAAATACCATGTTATCTATCGCTTATTCAATTCATTGATAGTACGATAATTGTTTATAACCAACATAATTATTTAAAGTTATAATCATGACTGACAGTATACCGATTCTGATAAATATTAATATAACAATTAAAATACAATTTAATTTTAATTATATAAATAATCGTGCATTATTTCAGCAGGGCGCAGGAAAATTGGAATTATTTTAAAAGTAAGGGGAGCAACCATACTCCCTGATCTCCCTAAATGACGGGCCTTTAAGTATCTTTAGGTTAATTAGTTTAAAAGCTTAATATTCATGGTAGTATGTGAATATGACTTCACTGTTTTTAGCGATAAAAAAAACCTTTGATTTAATGCAGTTGTAATTGGTAAAGTTTTTACAAGTGAAATAATTTTTAAAATTTTAACAAAAGTGATAGGAAAATCTTTCAGACAATATGTTACGGTTTCCAAATCCACATCATGTTTTTCATTAAATAGTACTTTTACTGACGGAAACTCTGAAGCAATTTAAATTTCAATAAAATTCTGTTTTAATTGTAAAATAATAAGTATCTACTTACTTATTTTTTTAATAGATTCCATTAAAACTGTAGTTAGAATTATTGAAAACCACTGTCATTATCGTTCTTATACAGTTATACATCTAAAATCGGCAATTGTTAACTGCGCCCAAAATACAGGTAAATATAAAATTACACATGTAAACTGTGCCCGAGTTTTTATTAAGTGTAAAAAGGTGACATGTAAATTGTGCACAGGTAAAATTTTAAAAATCAATAGCTATATTTGTGCAAAATTATCTTTAATATACACTTAGTTTGTTACAACCATATAATTTGAATAATTAAAATTAAAAATAAATTATGAATTAAAAAAATTTTAAAAAATAAAATAATAACAAATATTACAAATGATAATATATTGTTGATACATATTCATCATTCATTAAATTGTTTAAAAATAGTGAAAATGTCAACATTTTTAAATGATCTTTAACTTTTCAAAATAAATTTTTTTTTTTAAACACGTCTTACTCTCAGAAATATTATCACACAATTTAATTTTATAATAGGTATATTTACTATGGAACCAAAATTGAGCGAGTTCTACTCAGACTGCATAAACGCGTTTTGTCTACGTCGTACGATGTGTAAAATGAAGACAACACATGCGGATATGACGTCCTCTTAACCGGCTCGCCAAAATTATTAAAATTAAAAATATTACGTTAGTAAAATTTGATATAAATGAAATGGAATTTATTTGTATACCTTTATTAAAATGTGCTAAAATAAAATGTAACATTAAATTTAAAGAAAAAGTTCTTGGCCCGTCGAAATATTTTTATTTTTTCATGACCTTCGGTAAAAAAGGTTGGTTACCTTTGCTATACACCACTAAATTAATGTTTTTATTTTTTTTTTACCTTCATTGACCATTATTTGAACAAAATTATTTCCCTTGCTATCAACCGTACAATACGTGTTGAAAGAATGTGCAAAGACAACCATATTGTACACACGAATACAAAGCAAACAGAAAATCGTTTTGATACATTTCCAGCTTGAATACAACCCCCGCCACTGATGTTGTGTTATGTTAGGTCAGCAGCGCAGCCTAGCAGGACATTCTTCGGACGAGTACTTGCTGTTCATCAGTTTCATTTGGTTCTCTTGCTACGAGGCTGTGGACTGTAGTGTCTATAGAGCAAGATACCTTTTACTGTTTTAAGGTGATTTACAAAACATCGATAAATTCAGATACAGCATAATACGTACCACAAAATTGACTGCAGAAGTATGTATCTTATATATCTATAGTTAATAGTTATGTATAATCATTTATAATTTAATTTACTAAGTCTTGATAATGTTTAAATACATACGAATTTTACAGTAGGTAGGAAACAATTAATTTTATTGCAATGTATGCTTTTTATAAAATATTATAATATGATACTCGTTCTCTTTCAACCCAAACATTGTTTTTCAGTATGAGATGTGTGCTACTGTGTTAGCAACTGAATATATTTATAGTGTAAATATTAATTAATTTTCTTGAAATTGACTAATTATATATTTAATAAATATTATTAATAATAACAAATAACAATAATTATATTGTATTATTTATATAATGATTTAGTACTAGTTAAATTTATTTTAAATATTATTTAACTTTCCTCGATCGTCATTGGCATTTCTTGAAATTTAAAATTTGATACCCAAAGCCTAAATAAATTAATAAACTTCGTTGTAATCAAAAATATTATATACAAAAAGCGATTAAATTATTTTAAACAACTAATATACAAAAAGTAAACAAGCATTTTTCTAAAATATATTTATTTTTTCTTTATTACATTATGGGTACCTAACTAAATGGTATTTAACAAAATACTGAGAATAGCAAATGTTTTGGGGTTCGTATGTGTCAAATCCTTTTCAAGTACCTAATGGGTATTAAAGTACCTACGTTAACAATAAACATGTGTTCAGCGGATACGGTCCCGACCGGCGTTGACATTCATGTGACTATTAAGCATACAATTTAAAAATCGATAAAATAATATTATACCATTATGTAGTAGGTTTTCACATTTTTGAAATTAACTCAACTTGTATTATATATTTTACAATCTATTTATCATATTTTGATGCATATTTCGATTTGAGTCCGAACGATTTTGATTATAATATACACAGACAAATGTATAATTTCATATCTAAAAGAATGATCAATAAATATCATTTACATTTTTAGAATCTGAGAAAAGAAAAACGTTAGTTCTAGAATAGTTGTGTAGATTTTTGTTTTGATCTTTATTTAATATATATTCAACACAAATAATTCGTTTGAAATACGAATCTTTCAAATTTCATTATTGTTTAAAAATACCGCGTTAAAAAATATCAGCAATGTTAGAAATTTTTATAAATTATCAAGATTTGTTTAATTTTTATAAATATTACAATATTTATTCTTTGCTTTGAAGTTCATAATGTCCATAATAATTTTACAAGTCTAATTTCTATACGGATTGAGCATTTGACCATTATTAAATAAGCCGGTCAAGGTAAGAGTACTAATACAGCTGTCAAACACCAAAATATCTGTACAGTGTAATGCGGTCACCCAAATAATAGACATAACTACTAAAAAATTTTCCCATTATGGACATTTTAACATTTATATACACTACCAATATTTGGTATAAGATTTTAAAAATTATCTTTTATGATTTCAATTATTATACGATCAATAAATCAACTGGCTTATAAAGTATGTATTTAATATGATAAAGATGACCTTTTTATTATTATCACGTAGTTTAATAAACGAAAATTATGGGAATATTAAAAATGTTTGTTATTATTGTTATTAGTGTTCGAATGGACGTACCACACGCAACAGCTACGATAGTGTGCTTAAATATATAGTATACATATATTGATATTTGTAATAACAGATAGATATTTTTAAGTAGTTAAAAATAATAAATTCTTATACTTCTACCACATATATACCTATGTATATTTATACATTTTACATACTATATTACGAGGGTAGCCAAATTGCGGTTTCTTCATAGATTAATGCAGTTCACATCTTTTTATAAGATACAAAACATTTTTTACAAAAAAAAAAAAAAAATGTTTTCTATATAAATGTATGTATTTCAAAAAGTATAATATTTTATTAAATTAAAATTCATAGAAAACATTTTACAAAAAAGATATTTAAATATGTATTTTATTTTTTATTTTCATTATTAATTAATATCTTATACTGATTCGCTTTCTTCTCGTTTTGTTACATCTGATATCTTATCTTGTTTACGATAACCATACATAAATTAATATGATCGTCTTTTTCATTTCGGCTGTTCCATATTTATTAATATATTGGGCGGCTCGCAAGTCTGTTATTGGTAGCTACTCCTGCTTTATTACAAGAAAAAATGTTTTTCTAAATAATAGATGGTTTTAATTTCATGTAAAATTATTATAATACAAGGTACATTACTATTACGTATAAACGATTGCGTATGGACCTTTTACATTATTATAATTGCATACGTTCTACCTACCCTAACTTTACTTAGTGCAACGTTGCCGTTGATTAAAATCGTGAAAATCTGTAAAGTAGCTTATCTTAGAATATTTTTACTTATATATTATAAAATTTAATAATCATTACTGTTTATTCACAAGCTTTTCAGGACTGATTATCGGTGCCAAAGATTTAAATTATAATTTGTATTTGTATTGTATTATATAAACATACATTTTTTTAATTGACTTAAAAATTAGTTTTATTTTAAGTTTTAATTAATAGAATCATTTAAAATTGAGCTATTTTATATAATATAAACCTCATCAAATATTACAATTAATAAAAACACAGTACTTACACTTTTTACTTAATATTGTAGTTGTCAATATTTACTATGTTTATTTGAAAATATGATCATTTTTATTCAAATACTAAATATTAAGTAGTATAATATGTTGGCAATGTTGCACTCATTTTTGTATACATTGTATGCAGTCATAATTTTTTAAGGGTCGGATAAAAACGTCGTTAGCAATCGCCAATCGTACAAACTTCGGCATTACTGCTACCAAAGGGGGACAAACATATGCAATCATGCAATCATATATAACCGATAAATACAGACTACGGGTGGTCAAAAGGTTTATCGCAGATGGTTTCGAAGTAGGTTTCCCTTTGTTAGAATTTAACGTTATACATTTACTAGACCCAACAAATGATCCCGATAACGCTTTCATAACAGATTTTTGTATTTGTATGGCTTCTCAAAAAAATGACTATATATTTTCGGTATAGATCTTTATCAAAAAAAAAAAAAAAAAATTGAAACCCCTAATATAAACTGTAGAGGTTTTACTGCATACCAATTTTTTACTCTTATTGTTCAATATGGTTTTAAGAAAATGATTTTATCGTTAGATGTTCAATCACTATTATGTGGAGAATGGAGGAACGCTATTGAAAAACGGACAATAACACATATCTTTTCACTAAATTGTTTTTTAATTGATCATTCGTACACCAAACATTAACTATTTTAATATTACACAGTACTATAATAAAAATGTATATATTATAATACGTATTTATAAATGTGGATTTTTAAGAAAGTAAGTGAATAATAAAGAAAATAATAATAGGTACTAGGTGTAGGGATCATGATCATGTATAAGCTAATTTTCTATGTTAAAACATAGTATCAAAAATATCACAAAAACAAAAAATGATGTAGTTAGTATAAAAGATCGCCGTAAACGATACGCCGATATAATTTACAGGTTATATTTTCATTTGATTTTTAGTAAGATTAGTAGCATTATTATTTAAAAGAAATAAATATTAACATTAACCATTTTTATTTCAGATTTATCAAATGGAAAAAATACATGTACAATCGATATCAATGGCTGTCATAATGTTGATAATGATGAACATAATTACACAGTCTTTTGCTGAACGTAAGAATTTTACACTAAAAAAATAAATTGCTTTTCACTATTAGTTAAGTTTGATAAGTTTTTTTCAGTAAATCGAGTAGGTAGTAACTAGCAGTGCTTTCTAGAATTAAAAAGCTTTATTGACATGGTTGATAACAATTCGTTTTAAAAATTAACCAATTTTTGATAGTAACGATTAATATAGTTTATCGTGTAGATAGAACAAAATAAATATAAATCAACCAAACCTATACTAGAAACTTATACATATAGAATTTAAAACTGACTTTTGTATAGTGTTTATGATTTTACGAATATTTTTATTAGCATTGAATCAAATATATATGTATACAAAAAGCATCATAATATAAATAATTAAATAACAATTATTTTTCAACTATCTTCTGAAATGGTAAATTAATGGTTTTTTAATCTTACCAAGAAATATATATCATTATTATTATTATTACTAATTCAAGTTTGAAAACTTAATGAAAAATAAAAATAAAAATATAAAACCTTTGATTTAAATATTTGAATTAAGTGTTATAATAATATATACAGGTATTTTTAATAACATTGTTTGATTCGATTAAATCAAAACCTGTAAATAGGTATCTTAGTATCTACCATTAAATTTGAGTAAACAGCAAAAATTTAAATTACTATAATATGAGGGACATACGTAAATTGCACCAAAATGACCTTTTTTTTTGTAAATTGCACCCAAAATGTTATCTATGTTAAAAAGGTATAATGTTTACTGTGTTTGACAACTTAAGCTTTGCCCCGTTTGTAAAATATATAAAACTTTTAACTTATTGAAGTCTCTATGGTTATGCACTTTTTCAATTATATCACAGAAATTTTATTTTCATCTAGAAATACCGCCGACACGTTATCGAATAACTATTGCAGTAATACGACAACTAATGGTTTATAACTACATATGGCATAGGTCTGTTAGTACCTACCTATCATATTAAGTTATAAGCACCAGTAGAGTTAACTTTATAAGCCACTAATGAATGCGAATTGTTTTATTCTAGCTTTTATACAACTCATCCAAATATTTTCATATTTATATAAAAGTTAAAAGAAATTCAAATAGAAACAAATATTAAACTAAATAGTATAAAATTATTATAAATGAACCCTTTAAATACCAAAATTCTAAAGCAAAAAAAAAAAACAATACGTAAAGTAAATAAATATAATAGTGGTTAAACTCCAATTGATGAATATGTAATATTGTAATAACAATACTTATGTTATAATTTTTTGTAATATTTGTTATTATTTTACTTTTTAAAATCATATATATTTTTTTAAATTCTTTATTTAATTTAAATTTTAATTATTCATATTATATGGTTATAACAAATTAAGTGTATATTAAAGATAATTTTGCACAAATTTAGCTATTGATTTTTAAAATTTTACCTAGGCGCACTTTATATGTCACCTTTTTATACTTGATTTTATACTCAATCTTGATTCTATTTAAGTTTTAATAATATTATGAATTGATCACCAAATGAAAAAACACCAAATAGTGTTATTAAAATATCATGTAAATTACAAAATTATCACCATTAAAATATCGCGAGTATAAAGTATTGAAGCAATATAGTTATTATATTATGTATATAACTTGAATTATTCAAATACCTATAATTAATATTGAATAGTTTCTTATATAATTATTTTTATCTTAATTTTACAAAATATAATACTATACCACTGATTTTATAATATTTTTTGGCGAAGTGCTTTAATTACAGAGTCTCTTCATTCAAGTATAAAGTAAAGCCACTATAATACCTATAAGACTACAATACTTACGCTTATTGTAAAAATATGTTTATAAATCGTGTATTAAAAAAATATATAAACAGGTATAATGTACCTACAATATTTTATACTGACGACATACTTTTATCTATGCATTATTTTACTGGCAATATAATGTCTTTGCGTTATATTTTTCATGGTGTTTTATGCGATATTTTGTACTTATTATTTTAATGAACTATATAGAATAAAAAATTAAGAGTAAAAAAGTCTAAATAAAAAGTTAAATAATCCGTAAAAATATAATATATATATTTAATAATTAAAATTATTTGTTAAGTACCTATCAAAAAATAAAATGAATTAAAACTGTATTATACATTACTATTTGTAATTATTTCTTATTTATTTTCTTATAATATGTCCAATAATAATTCGAAAAGTATTTATCGGCTTGGAATATATTTGAAAAAGTCTTATGAATAAAAGTTTTATGAAGTATTTTTATAGCAATATTATATATTAAGGGAAACACGGAAATTATTACTTATTTAATATTATATATATATACACTCGTACAGTTAAACAGTTCTATTTTCTTTTATTTCTTGATTCATAATAAATAATTAATTTTTCCAAACATATATTATACTTTCATCGGGCATTTTTACCGTTTATCTCTTTAATTTTATCACAATTTAACCTAAGCATGTGTAAATATTTTGAAATTAATTATTATCATTAAACTAATTATGTATACTTAATTATTATTGTAGCACCAAAACGGCCACCCAAAATAGATATTGGAAACTTTGAATACGTGCTATCGTCGGTCAACGATATCACAAGAGATGTAATAGTATATTGGCAAAACATTCACGAAGACGAGAAACATACAATTGATAATTCGTTTGAATATCGCGCTTATTATACGTCCCTGTCAAATAATAATACTATGTCAGTACCATTCTTGATCTTATAGCTGCGTACGCACTTTAACATTTGCGCGTAACGTAACGTAGACGCGTAACAGTATCTAATAGATGTGTGAACGTAAAGGCATAAAAGCTGATACACGATGAAGTTGCATCGTATTCCAAGAGTTGTCGGAAAATTCGAATCGCATCAAAAGATAGTTGCTTGGTGGGTTACGAATAGTGGATCTACGTTACGATACGCGCTTAACATGGCTTATTTTTTTTCGATTTATTACTTGACTTCATTAATGAATTTAACGTTTAAATTTTCTGTAAAAACAGACTTCATCATCCATGCAACAAAACGTTTGCCAATCATGCCATGTTTATCGGATTAGAATTAAATATTGGGTACAACATCAGAGTGTACTCGGCAAATAAGGATGGTTTATCGACTGACTACGCAAGTATATACATACCTAGTTCACCGGGCAGTAAGTACATACATGTAATTTCATTATACCTACACTCAACCAGTATTCAAATTTGAATAGTGGAGATCAATCTATATGGTTCTAAAAATTACATTATATGCAAGCGCAAAATTCTACATTTATACTATATATTTACATATCTTTAATAAAATAAAATAAATTTTAAATAGTAATTATATTTATTTTTATAATATTTTAAGTTATTTTAATATTTTATGTAATAATTATCACTTACAGAACGTAATGATACTGTTACATTGTCGTTGACAAAAGTGAAAATGTACAACGATCAAGGTATCTATGAGTTGTCGTGGAAAATTTATGACAGCGAAAAACTATTTGCCACTAACCAACTGAACTATTACACTCTGTATTGGTGTGAAAATGATATGATCCATCCTAACCAGTGTAACGTACGTAAATCAAATTATATGTTACCATCCGAAAATATACTTTTAGACTTTAGTTAATGATGCATATAATATTTTATAAATTGAAATATGAAATATTTGTTTAGGGTTATATGGACTGGATAATTATACCAAGAACAGAGACAAGCTACATTATTTCTGTACCAGAACATTGGAAAAATTATCAATTTGCGATAAGCGCCAACAGTAGATCTTTAAAAAAGAGCGATGTCAATATAAATGAAGTTTATAAATTTAAATCGATAAGTAGTGGACTGGTGTGGGAATCGTGTACAACACTCCATATAACGAGTAAATATAATAGTTCTTTATTAAAAAATAAAAAAATGTTTATTTTTTCATTTATTAATATTTATTAGCTACAATATTTTAATGTGTTTTCCATTTATATATGATTAGAAACCAGTAAATTAAAAAGCGTTTGGATCAGTGAGGTTGGCGATACATACATGGCTTTGAGATGGAAGTTTGACTGTTTAGAAAAGTCAAATTTGTACTATGATTTTCACGTTTCTTATTGTTCAATACATTCCTTGGACAATTTGTCATGTTTAGGTAAGACGTTATTACTTTTCTAAATATTCTTTACGATTTAGTAGTATAAGGTATTACAGTATAGTATTTTACTACCTATATTGGTGTAAAGTTATTTATGTACAGAACTGCCGTACTAGCTATTAGTTATTACCTATTTAGAATATTTAAATGTAAATATATTTATTTTTTTTAATAGATAGATACTTACTTATTATTTAGTATATATAAAAAAAAAATTAAAGAATGCATTGGTTTTATAATAATGTGTTTATTTTATGTCTCAAGACACTTTTTATAGTAGCAAATATGGTTCAATCTCCAACAATATTGTTTTTTGATATTGCTACATTGAATTTAGGTTGTACTATTTTAATATTTTATTAATATTCAAAATGTATAAACCGTAGAAATTTGAAACATGTAACTGTTATTACTTATATAATAATTTTCTATTTAGAACAATGTATCTAAAATATTTAAACAAATAAAATTACCTAAGTGATAGGTATTCTTATTTGTTTAAATATTTTGAAAATGTCATTCTGAATAGAAAATTATTATATACCTAATTAATAATAGTTGAATGTTTTAAATTACTACAGTTCATATATTTTGAACAAGCCAGTAGTATCTAATAATTATTTATAAAGATATTTTAAAGTTTATTTCTAATACATAATTGTTGGTTAAAAAAATTGTACTCAGAATACCACGGTAAAAATTTGAAAATTTAAAGAAAGATTCATTAATGGTAATTTAATAATATTAAACATTTAAACTTAACACAACTATTTTGATTATTTTATTGTAACTAAAAAAATGTATTATTCGTTAATGTAGTGTATTTATTTTTGTTTATTTTTTACCTATACAAATATTTACTATAATTATACACATAAAATTAAATGTTTAAAATGTTTAGAAGCTATTTATACCACGAACTTACTAACACCATTCTACTGTGTGTTAAATATTGATTTATACGTTAGTAATAACTAATAGGTAACTAATAAATAATAATAATTAATATATTATAATTATGATAAATAATAATGAAATTTATTATTATTGTAAAATATATGTGATTGAATGAAGGCAAATATTTTTTCAATTCATCGTACCGCTATAATAGTAAAATAAATTATCTATGTAAATATAAGTATGAAAAGATTGGTTTATCGTCTTTATTCAAAATCATTTTTTCGAAGAACACTTGAAACCTACGACTTGGAGAAGAGCAAGTTCCCTGGTTTTTTTTATTATTGATTAATTGAAAAAAAGTAGGTACTTAACTAAAATTACTCTACTGTATGGTACGAGTCAAGTGTAACTCATCATTGAGTAAGTTACTGTAACGAATGTACCTACTAAGTTTTAATTCAATAATAATTAATAAATCACTGCATACGAAAATTTTTTCTAAGCAGAGACAGTCTGTTAACTAATATGTATATTCTTCGTTTAAATATCGAATTTTGTTCAAGTATGAACTTCAAATGCATTATGTTTATAAAAAAATCAATTTTATATACTTTTCAAGCTTTTTGGTTTCAAAATAAATTACTCATGATGAATCTTGTATTACATTTTCAAATCTAAGCTATTAAAAAATTGGAAGTAATTTTTTACTTTAAAATAGTTTGTACATTTTCGTGATGTTGGTAATTTTTTTAACAGTTTAAATTTAAAATACTTAAAAGAAATTGTGAATATGTGTTTACTATTATTAATTTTGGAATTACAACAAAATGAGAAAAAACTTTGACGAGAAATTGTTGTGTTACGAATGAATAGATATTTGATTTCGTTAAATTTTTAAACTTCAAACACTTAATTAAAATATTTTTGAAATTGCGTTCAACTTTATTTTATGACTTTCCTTACAAACACTTATGAAGAACCTTATATTCAATTTTCAAATAAGTATGATTATTAAAAATGTTAGAATTTTCAACTGTTAAGAAATTTGCAAATTATCACACTTTTGACGAAATTTGTCAAAATTCTAACTTTAAACACTTATACAAATAAAATATTGTGACTATATTATGTTTTCAATATTTTTTAATTGATACATGAACAACTTATAAAGAACTCTAAAAGTTGAAAATCTAAGTATTTTTTCTATTATCCATTGTTATAATAATTATTCTATATGATGTATTAACAAAATATAAAAAAAAAACCATTATTTTAAAATCACTTCGCTCGAAAAATAAAAATGTATTTTATGTTTTAGATTCTTCTACATTTATGGTAGTTAACGAATTTATGAAACAAGACCAAACACCCTTTGTATTCTTGAAGCAACTGGAGCCATCTACCACTTACAAGATATTAGTTTCAATATATTTTATAAACGACAGTATTATTGAATCTGATCCAATAGTTATGGCTACACTACCAATTACCGAGTGAAAACTTCCTATCCAAACATACTTTACATTGGAATAATAATATATTTCAATTACCGTTCGTATCGGTATAATAATCTATAGAACATTTACTCTGCTAGTGAGCTAAGAATTTATTTTGACGTTAACAGTCTTTCATAATAATATAATATTATAATAATTAAGTTTATATTTCACTATTTCCATTATTTTCTATTTTCTTAATGATTTTTGGGTATTCATTATTTTTAATATTATCAATATAATTGTTACCCAATTAGTATTATAATCATTTTATCATTTCAGTACTTAGTAGAAAATAGTATTATAATGTATTAGTATAATGAAAAATATTAATTATCATCACATTTTTAACTACACAATTGTATTAGAGTTATAATATAATTTTTTTATTGATACCATCGTTTTATAATTACATTATATACAGTACTATTATTATTGTATTATTTTTTAGTTTTTTAAACAATATACACCAATCACTTAAATTGTAGATATTAATTTAAGAACCTTCACAATTTAAATAAATCTCATTCTTTCTTCAATTTCTCTACAACATGCAGCAGTATACTTTCTTTCTGTCATCATTTAATTTGCATGCAACTTTCCATCTGTATAAGTTACTTACAGCAGGTACCTATATGTCATATATTATACAATATTTGCAATACATTCAATATATATTCAATAACGTTTTACACTAGGTAAATGATTTTTTTAATTTATAATTGAAGTTTTTTTTAAAAATTCTTCTTTAAAATTTAAAAAACTTAGTTTATTTTTCAACTCTCTATCCTGTTGAGTGTTGACTCAAAGAGTTAATCATTTTTATAAAAAAATCGATAGTTTCCTAAAAAAATTGTCCATAGATTAATCGACTACTACGTGTAAGAACAATAAATGTATGTAATATAATATTTAAATGATTAAATGACTAGTGTTGCGTCGACGCTGATCCATCAAAATACTAGTTCGCGGTTGTCGGCGATGACTCGCAATTAAGTTGAGGACAAAAAAGGGTACACCACACAAAGGAGGATATATCAAATAACAACCAAATGTGTTCATGGGCGCCCATTGGTAGGTGGCAAGACGAGGCACTTGCCTCTCTCCCATAGAAAAATAATATGAACTTTTAATAAGTATTACTTTTATAGATATTATCTAATTACCTATAGAGCATACAAATTATTTTCTTTATTACTATAGGTATTTGAAATAATAAATATATATATATACATATATCATAAACATAGTTATGTATAATATACGGAAGATTAATTGCAGATTAAACGTTTATTTAGTTTATATTTTGAGACTTTTTTTGACATATTTAGCCCCCCCCCCCCCCCCCTCAAATTGAATCAATGGGCGCCCATGAGTACGCTATACGTATTACAACAAGTTAGGTACTTAATATAATATATAATTACGAATAAAAAAATATATACGTCGATTGAATATGATCTAAAATAAAGAGCACCTCTACTCTTGTTTTAATAGAACTTTCAATTTCACTTAATATTAAACAACTCAAAAACGACTGCAGTCGTGCGATATAAAATAATGAATAATTAAATTACTATAGAAATTACAATAATCTAATATGCGGGTGCGCAACATTAAAAGAAAACTTTTTCACGGCTACAACATCCATTGACTTAATACACCCTGGGAACGGCGATAACGTCTTCACTCACGGTCGCAGATGAGACAACGGCACAACGTCGACGACAACGAGCACACACCACGCCGGGAATACCAATTTCGTATTAAGCGCAATCTTTAGCAAATAGAATCAGTCGCAGCCCGGTTTCAATCGAGGGGAAGGCACGAGCTGATACAAAAATGACACGCGTAGCAACGCCGGCACACGGTGGCGGCGGTGAACGGACGTCACGTTGCGTATGGTCCAACGATGACATAGCCGACGAGAAACGTCTCGTTAGATGAACTGGAGGCCGGTGCATATCGGACAGACCGCTGTCTAAGAACTCCTACGCCCGCCGTACCGCCCGCGGAGGATCGCTAGCGTGTTGGCGGCAAAGCTCCGGATTCGAACAGCTAGAATAATGGATATAGAAAAACTCAATGACGCTTCTCAAAGTACAATTTTTGTCTTTTAAACGTTCCGAGTTCAAATGTTAATAACGTTTTTAAAAACCACGAAAATTCGTAAATTATTTTTGTAAGTCATTATGTACATCAAAAATGCCAAAAAAACAAACAAAATATGTACTAAGAAATGAATTAATATGCAATTAAAATTGTAAATTAAGCCCAAAGAAAAATGTCAAAATATGTACAAAATAATTTCATTTTTAAAATCGTTTTGTCATGAAACAAATTTTGAGCTCACCTAACATATCAATAATACAATTAATAGAATAAATATGCAAATGCATACAAATCGCGCTCTATGTCAATAAGTATGATGAGTACGTAAATTTTTTTTTTATTTCTTCACTGAGTGACATGAGCAGTGTTCAAGCCTCCGCCTTTTCACGGTCCGAATCGGTCCACATAATCACGTAGACGCGCAGTGTATTGAACTTTTCGATGATCCCCTTTTTCCATAATCACGGCTTTTGTCGATACCACGCTTGTTCGTCAATTATCTGATCTTCAGTTTGTCTCCGTAAGCGTTTGGGTGTTGGGTTTTGTGTGCATTTTCATCGACTTTTGATTTAATGCGACCTACCACAAATTGCTATGATCCAAGCGACGTGTATCGTCAATTTGCTACTTCAATTATTACATTTATACTCGACTATTCTGAAGTGTCGATGTCGTGTCACGGTTGTCGAGCGCCATATTTGGTTATTGACGTATTTTTGACTTTAGTGCGACCTGTCATAAACAGAGGTGTATTTAGGCACAGGTTCCTAATTTAAACGATATTTTAAATAATGTGAAGTGCAACGTCGTATCTTGGTCGTTAGAATACTATTATATTCCATTTTTTAATCATTACTACACTCTCTATACATACATACATATATATATATATAATAATTATATATATATATATTATATATTATATATATATATGTCATTATGTCAAGTGTCGTTCCGCTATCCGCCGATTCGCCACAACTGTCGATGCATAATTGTATATCTATAAATACCTGAACGCGATTGTCTATATCTCTATATCCAGTAATCCACAGGTTATTCCCCGTCTTTGCCCATCTATTTGGACTGTCGGGATTATTATCGTTAACAGCCGTTACAGCAGATTAACCGCGGACTGTTAAATGACCTCTTGGCAGTCACCGCATATTTATATACTATTTTCGTGCACTTCGTTGCCCGTACAAAACGCATCCGTGTTAAATTTAGTTGCTAAATGCTAACCATTTAGCGCAATGCGAATGGATAAATAATATTTTTAGTTTTCTGATTTGATGTACAGATGATATTTTCGACATATCAACTTAATGTAATTGTCACGCTCAGGGCCGGATTAAAATAGGTGTAAAAGGAGCTTTTGCTCAAAGGCGACAAATTTTTGTGAGCGGCTATAACTTTTATATTACAAATATTAAATATTGTGCACTTGTTTTTTTCAATGTTAATCGAGTAATATTATATTTTAAAATATAAAATTATAAGCTATTTAGTAATAATGAATCCATGATATTATTAGGATGGACTAGCGCATAGTTTTACTATAGTTATAATGATAATAACTAATAATCACAGTTCACATAGAATTTTGTAAAATTGTGTTTTAAATAAACAACTTCTATAATTTTTCCTAATTGATTTTCTGTACCGCGTCGTTGACTACGCTACGCTTGTTATCGCATTATCTTTGTTAAAATATACGTTACTGCATCTATTATATATATATATAATATCAGCGCAACCCATTTATCGTAACCCATTTGCAGCCCAAATCATAGCCTATATGCGCCCGATTTATTGAGAATATTGGTATTTTATAATTTTAAAATTTAAAATAATATTTGATTGTTTCCCTAGCTAATCGAAACCAATATCCAAATCGATAAAGATAATATTTTGTCGTTAGTCATGCTTATCGATATTGTTAAATTCTAATCAATAAAAATTATATTATACAAAAATGCATTTATCAGTTGTATTTTATGTGCCAGTTTCATCAGCACACAGACAGTGAGTACTACTATGAAATAAAAGAATTCTATGTAACTATTTCAAGTAAACAAAAACTTTGTTAAATTTTTCGTTATTTTAAATATCGCGTGAGTAGACGTTAGTTAAGTTGGCGTTAAGTAAAAAAAAACCTGTAGTGCATATTATGTCAAAACCAATAATTCAATAACGAAATTAACCGAAATTAAAGACATTCATACCCATGACCCGGAAACTGAAGGAAGTTTAAACTTACTGAACGTTTAAGGTAAGTGTAAAAGAAAAGCGTACAAAGATTTAATTTTACGACCGAATAGAATAATACGTAGGTACAGAGCTTTTCACATGCAGTACTGCTAAGCATTTGTTCATAATATCAAAAAATCTATAAACCGCGAACGTCGAAAAATATTACTTCCAGTTCCTAAATCACTTATCGAAGTATTTGAATAAATTTCTAGTTTAGTAATTTTAATATAAATAATATTTAGATACATAAATACATAATTATGTATACTGTGTAGTATTTATCATTATTTTTAAAATAATTACTTTTTACTAATTTGTCTTAAACGGTCTTAAACGATAACTGACAGCAACGTTACATGCAAAATGGACACATTTGGGCTTTAAATCAGGGTGTTAAGATTTTTATTTAGGTCACAAATGTCGATAACTCTCGGGGCACAAATAGGCTACAGCTATATAATATATATTTGTAGATAAGTAGATTATTATAAGAATGATGTCAATAATAATAGGTATCTGAATATCTGGATAAAATTACAAACAAGTCAGTAGGTACCTACTCACTACTCAGTCATCAATTATCACTCCATCAGTGTCAGAGTTGAGAATTTGCAGTTGACAATAATAATTATTTAAAAA